TTCTCATCTAACTACTCGGTAACTATAGTTTCATTAAATGTCTTTGTATTACTTTTACCTGTGCTTCGCTGAAGCGCGGTAGTTTCAACTGCTTCATTTTTTGCTAAGTTCCCCACGTTGAGAAGTCAGTCGGTATGATCTATGAACTAAGAAGATATTCTCCGATGCGAATTTAAAACAAGAAATAAGGGCCAGTAAAGCAGGATTTAATGAGTTCATCAAATTTCGGCGGAATCTTTCAGCTGAATACTTTACATACATTGGGAAATATAAGATTGATAAGCAAATAAACTACATTGAATTAGTTTGATTATTAAATGTATCACACAGTGAAACAGTGCCCAAGTTTTACACATATACATTGAATTAGTCATGCATAACGACAGGTGTGAATGTTTCTGAGGTCATGTTCAAATAGATAAGGGGCAGGGAGTATGAGCGGTTAAAATTAAGATAAAATGCATTACGCTTCAATTAACTAAATTAGACAAACAATTAGTCATTGGAGAAAGAACCTAAAAATATCAAGAATTGCGAACTGATTAATATCAGTAGCAATAGTTATATTAATAGAGAAGTGAGTTAAGATAATGCTACTGATAAAAGATAGCTTTAAGTGAATCAAGAATAATAATAACAAGAGGTTAATAATAAGAATATTGACAGTTAATAAGTAAAAAGTATTATCATGTTAGATTTAAAGTGACGATCATTTCCTTTTGTACAGAAAGACGTGGTTTATGAACTCGAATTGTATAAGCCTCCACAGCTGCAAGCATCTTCCTGTTTCTTTATCCGTTAAAGATAGGGAATGACCTGACAGAGTCGATGTCATATCCGTAGTCCACAAGTTGCTTTGTTATTGAGCTTTTTGGTACTTTGAATTCAACTGTTTTCAACCACTTTGGCAAATGCTTATGTGAGTAGACAATCACCTTTATCTACGAACTATGTATTCGCTTCCACAAACACACTCAAATTGTCGAGAATTGGAGACTGATCTTTCCCAGATTGTTGAAGCACTCACTTGGTTGTTTTAAGGAAGACAAGTTTTCCCTATATATTGGTTCTGATGGCTTTTCAGCTGTGTGTACAAGTTCACGTTTGCATTAAGACACTCTTAAAGTTTTCCTCCACTGTTTGTACTTCTATAACTTATTTGGTTACAGAATGAACAACCTATGATAGGTATTTTAACTTACACCCTTTAAAAAAGCAGCCTCATTTTCCTCAGTGATATTTTTAACGATTAAATAATAGATACTGAACAAAGAATACTCTTTTCGATAACCTCTTCTTCATCAGGTTCTAAAGTTATATATACATACATCATTGTGAATGAATTAGTGTCATGAACAACATTAATATTGTTTAAATAACATCGAATCAATAATAATAATATCAATGGATTACAGTTCAATAGCATCAACATAACAATAAGCTGAATGTCAGAAAAATAAGGAAAGATAATAATACAAATTCATGAATTTATGGTCTCTAATGAAGGCCAGCCAGGGCAGTAGTGGACTTGCTCATTTTGCACACGGAGCACTAGTTGTTTGAGGTGAATTGCAATAATATATCTAACAGGAATTCAACTAAATGCAAATGATGCACAGAGAACAGGACGAAATACACTCGATGGGTGATAATGCTGGTCAGAACCTGCCCATAAATCTCCTGTTTGTTGTATGTAATCCGTACTTTCAACTGTGAACCGTCTGAATGCTGAATTTTAGACTCAGGTGACAAAAATAGAACACATACTTCGGAGTTTGAGTTTATTCTTGAAATGACTGATTTATCGTTGGGTGTAATTTTTAAATTCATTGATTTCTGACTGAGCAGTTTAAAATATAGATACATAGCATTGATACAGCTTCTGTTTTTCTCCTGTAAAGCCTACAAGGACTGTTATACCAGCCTTGTGTCTGTTTATGTCAACAGCTGAACCTTCCTCAATATGTTTGAAAATGACCATGACTTCTGAGTGAGCAACTTGTACTCAGATCAGAAATAATTACGGAGTTATTGGTAAAAATTAGAAAATGTCAAATAAAACAAAAGATTACACGTTTAAAACCATTTAATTCTCTGTATTTTCTGCTACTGAGGAGAAATGTTTTCCAAAATGGACTTTGTCATGATTTAACAGATACTGGCGAACCACTGGAAAGTAGGCTACTCACGATATCTTTTTTCATTCTAGTTTAAGACTCTTTAGATCAAGCCGAGGGTCTGAAAGTTTTTGGTGTATGCTGACGAACTATCCCCGAATAGCTACCCATCGCTGTATGTTTTTCAATTTTTTTTAGCTGATATTTGTTCTTGACGACGTCTGTACTGAAATCAACTAAACACCTATAACCCAAAACTTTATTTTTCTTTACGTCGCCTTAAATAATATGAGCCTTTATACTAAAGAGTACAGTACCAATAGTTTCCTACTTCCCTTTTACTCTTACTGTCTATCCATACAGTGAAATGTTAAATAAACAGTTCCAAAGTGGAATAAAGTCCACTTATTGATTTGTTTGTTTGTTTGTTCGTCTGTTTTCTTTTTTTTTGAGCAATGGTGTTTGTTTAACTGAAGTGGTCATTAAGACCACTATTAGAAATTCTTTCTTCATCGAAACCTATGTGATTCTTCCAAGTGAAATATTTTCTCCCACGACTTTTAGAAATATGGAATAGGTTTATGCGAGTTCATCAGTGTTACGTGATATTTTCAGTAGTAGTGGTCATATTGGTTACTAAGTACAACTGTCTTTACGATTGTAATGGGCAGATGGAAGAGTGGAAACATAATTAAATGACAGACAAGCCGCTTGAGATGCCACATCGAACAGTGCTGGTGCAAATATATATATATATATATCACTGTATGTAGAGTGTTCAGCCGAAGAATTCTACTGAAATGTGACGAATTCATTAAATTCTGCTTTATTAATATTTGTTGCTTGTTTTAAATTATAAAATCTTTTCAAGCGAAACACCGTTAGTTCAGGGACTTCCAACCATAACACACATGATAGACCTCAAGCAGACATTCACTAGTCTCTGTGGTCATGAGAAGCATTTCGTTTGAGGTCATCTATAAAAAAATCACCTTACATCAGTATGAAAGAACGGCATATATAGTCCAGTTGTTGATTGTCTAATGTTAAATTAATGATCAATTCCATAAAGATTGTATATCCTTTCTTAGAGTGATCGCTGAACACATTTCATGAATTCACACTGATATATGCAATACTTGAAATTCATGAAATGAGTTACACAAACATGAGTCAGCAGCGTCTTCTAGTGAAAAGTCGTGACCAGTAGGGTGCAGCAGGCCGGCTGTGAGGACAAATACTCTCCGAAGACATTGGCTAGTGGTTGCGCTATATCATGAATTGTCAGAAGTTAGAATTCATGGGTCATTGGATCGGGTCCTGGGTTCGAACCGTGGGGGTGTGTGCGAACTGATAAAGAGCTCCAAACTAGAACGAAGCAGCTGTCCAGTACTCCCTGCAGGTTTTCCAAAGTCAGCTCATGATGAAATCTTGTAACCAATCAACCGAATCCCTACAAACCAATACTTGAGTGTCTTTATACTTGAAACTAACACTCCGTGCATGATCATAAGTGGAGGAGGATATCAGAGTCAGAAATGATCAGATAGGAAAGCAAAACCAGTGTTTACTGCTTTGAAATCAGTGTGGCTATCTACGGCACGCAGGACAAGGAACAAAATGTGCATTTTTTATACTCATATAACATTAGTGCTTCTTTGTGGTTAAAAAACTTGACTGTCACGTCACGAAAAGTGTTTTCAACAGGATACTTCAGACTTTCATCAATATCCACCTTCGGTAGAGGGGATGACAGAGACTGGATGATCAACTAGAAACAATAAGCACCACGGAGCTCCAGCAGTCAACAAACCAGTCAACAGCCTACTGTCAAACCAACAAATATTCGGAAAGAGACGGAGGTGGATTGGACATGCGTTGAGCGAACCACTGAGTGACATTACACCCTAGGCAGTGGAATGTAACACAAACGCAAAGCGACTAGATGCATGTACGCGAAAAGAAAAGAGGTGAATATGAAAGCTTGTGGGCAGTTGTAGAGCTAGGTTGGAAATGATGACGGAGAACAGAGTCGAATAAAGATGTGTTGCTGAGTTCCTTGAGTTCCAGGGGGAACCACAATAATCGAAATAATCGATGTGTTCAAACATTTCCACAACTATTGTCTAGCTAAACTATTTTCCATATGCCACCCACATTACAAGAAATAAATTAAAAATAGCTTTATTGTTCCAGTAAGCACGGAGCTAACCGTGAGCTGGGTAGTCTAGTATTGAAGTGTTTAGCTTAAAACCATGCAAATAACACGGATTTTCCCCAAGACTATAAATATACATAAGTGGTGTGTGTGAGTAAGCACAAATATAGGTCTAGAGACGCCTGCCTATCGAGGCCTACCAACATGTAAATATGAGTGAACAGACTAACTGAATAGGCATTTTACTCAGGTCACTTACTCAGTAGTTAAAAAAACTCATGGACAGTTGGATTCTGTCCCAGTGGCTGAATGGTCAAAGAACTCATCTCATAACCTCAAAGTCGTTGGCTGTATCTCCGCTGAAACCATTCGAGAGCACCGACGAAGAATCCTAAAATAGGACGAAACAGCTGTCCAATACTCCATGGTTTTCAGTGGCTCTCTGAATGATACGAATCCGTGATCAAAGTTGAAACACTTAATAAATCATAAAATATTTTGCTTAGATATGCTCTGATCTTGTGTATTCGACTGCAAATGAAATAGAACCCGAAAACCGTTAAACATCGCGAAGCCCACACTAGACATTCGTGTTATTCCTCATGTGTCATGCCCAAAAAATATGGCTACTTTCAAAACCCTACCGCCGAATGTTCCAGTAACATCATCTATGCCATAGAATGTTAAATCACAAAGCTGAATACCAAAACAATTGATACAATCGATGGTAACACATGTTTAAAAAGAAAGCTGCACTTCGTTTCTTATGAATAAAATTGATGAAACAGAAGAAATAAGAAAATGTCAGTGACTGCTAAAAAAAAGAATTATTCATTTTGTGTCAATAGTATTAATATGATGTTTATTTTATATGCCTTGACAAAATCTGTTAAACCCACAGCATGCACCAGAGATCAGTTGACACAAAGTTCATCGGCCTAATCATAAAGACTTTGTCTTCTTAGTAGTTTAGATTGATTTCTGCGAAAAAGGAAACAAAAACAACAAATTATGTATACAAAAGGTGAGTACTATTTTAAGCTGCCTGTGTGAAATGCATAAGAATATTGCGGATTGAATAAAAGCAATTAGTTCACCTTACCAATTTTCAAAAATCGGTAAGATACAAAATTAATCCCACACGTCTGTGGTGTATTCTAACATTCTGATCATGCATGTACTTGTCATAGATATTAATATAAAAGGCAAGGGATCACAGTTCTTAAAAATTCAAAGCGTTTACTGGTCGCGATCACAGAATCTGTCCTCGTAATCTAATTTTAAAGCTAAATTCATTTTTATAAAAGTTTTTACACTTCCCAATGAATGAAAAGCAAAACGATACTGTTTTTAGAAAACAGTAAGACTGAGCGAAGAAATATTTACTTTTCAATTAGATCCTCATCTTTGGCTCTACTCTAATATATATAGCATTTTAATTCCAATACAACAGTTTGCCAATCAAGTGGCGATAAGTTTGTTAACAATAATTAAAGTGTCAATGGGTTAATAGTTAACGAAGAAAAATCAATACAGATTTAAAAGGTGGAAATGGATAGAATAAATTAATTTTACAAAAATAACACGTAATTAAAGATGAAGTAGTCAAAATAAATAAAATAAATAATTTAAACAAATATAATTTTATAGGTTTAGGGGGATAGGGGTGACGCAGTCCTGTTTTTACTGATTTTTCGCTATTTAATGTTGCTAATAGCTTTATCAAAGTATAATTATACCAGAATTTACGAAATCTCAGACCATATGTAACAACTTATTCATCGTTCATCAGCATGGAGTAATTTTTACCTTGTCAAGTTGGCCAAATGGTAAAGATAATAAAACCAAGTGTGGATTGTTGGATTTGTTAAATGCATAAAATTATATAATTAGCGTGTTTTTATATAATAAAATTACTTATCCTATTCGTGTTGATTTCGTTATTTTATGGAGGAGGGAAGTGTAGTAACCAGGTCAAATCCAGCTTAAGTTCATCATTCCTATTCAGGCAACTTGGATTCCTTTTTGATGCAGTTGTTTTATCTGAGCTGGATGGTTTATTTGCGAAGCTTTCATTGTCCTACTAGGCAACATCTTCATCACATGCTTCAACTTGGATTCCACTTAATATGAAGTGCTTCTAATATTAGAAGTTGTTTGTGATTTCTAAAATTTTTCTGAATTATTTCAATATTGTCAAAATCAGCTTTGTCACCCAATTCTACAGCGTGTAAACGACTTATGGCTGGGGATTTTTCAACCTTTTCAACTCAGCTGGATTTCTCCGTTCTCGAACAGATGATTTACAGTGTCCGTTTCTTCTAATCATCATTCTAGACTTCTGAAGATTCGTATTCTTCGATGAAAATTCAGCTCAGTGATACCTGATCTCGAATAGTTCTTCGGTTAATTCTAATCGTCGAAGTAAATTAATTTAAAATTAGTCAAAACAAACAGAGAGTTGAGAAGTGAAAATTCGCCTGATTGACTTGATTGCATGACTTTCATCCCACTCATTTTATTCTTGACATAGTCACTGTGACTCATAACCGAGAATTAAAAATCTCTGCTCTGCATAAATGTTTGTAACCAACTTACCTAACAGGTTCAGTACTTTCTGCCATTACAGAAGCACTCAAATTAAGCAAATAGTCAGTATTGTTTTCCGGCGGTAGATTCAACTGGTCAATCAAATCTTGGGGTGTTGGTCCTGGATCTCTGACACCTGAATCACGTTGTATAGCTTGTGTTCTTAGTTTACTGTCATGTCAAGATTTTAAAAAATACATAAATGCATAAATAAATAAACAAATTAATAATTTGATCAAAGTGAATAGACTTATAAATCTTTTGAAGTTCGACCATTTACAGGCAGTGTTTTTATCTAGTTTCGTCTATTTATTATGACTCAAAAGTAACAATCGTCTGCATGTGTAAATAACTGACGCCTGTTCTTAAAGACCCACAATAGTCAGTAGCTTACCTCCAGAGGAGTTCCTCATTCACGTGAATTACGCATTCCTACCAATCGCATAACTAGTGATAATCACTTTATTCCGAACAATATTATTGCATTCCCTTCAGTTGATTCTCATTTATGTCAAAAGGGATCCAAGCAAAAAGCATTACAACACAAATTGTCAAAAATAACCATTTAAAAGTGCCAACAAAAATTGAATCCATTATGAAGTGTTGCTTTGCAGGGATCAGATTGACTATAGGTTTGATCACGAGTTGACACCAGTTAGAGAACTGTTGGAAGACGACATGTGTTTCGACGAAATTTGGGACTCTTCGTCATTAAACACTCACCGAATGGGTTACCAGTAGCTGAACGGTCTACGAGCTCACCTTTTAACTAGAAGGTCCTGGATTCGAACTCAGATGGTTGCCTACTGTTGAAGAGTTCCAGTGATTCCTGAATTTTCAATGGATCTGTAACTGATAACGACTCGTTATCAAGCCTGTGATAAATTGGATTCGATTAAACAGTGGCAGTAAATCTCTGACAGCCAGCATATACACACATCACTATAGTAGCTAGCCGACTATTCTATAAGGCCAAAAATTAAAATGACTGAATACACACACTTTTTTGACTTCTTTCCTAGTTGATTGTTCTTCTTGCTGAAATTAATCCACTCTAAGTCATTTGCTAATACGGACCAGCTTGCATTTTGAAATGAATGATTCCCTCAACTTCTCCTATCTCTGTATTGTGTAATTTATAAATAAAATTTATGTAAGTGTTATTTACAAAAGTGGCCTAAGTTGCATGCAGTCGGAGAATCACTTTCAAGTTCTCAGAATACTTACAGGAGACTAAGGTGAATACTGATCGCTTCTGAAGGTAGAAATTTACCTTTTCCACCATCTGATTCATAAGGATCACGTCTCTATCTGACATGATGCAATTTAACCGGATATTTTCACATTGATTAGTGAATCAGGATTGAACAAAAAAGGGTTGCATGCGTGACCAGTACATAGCCGTGTGGTCATTTCACACATATATTTGTGTGTGTGTCTACTGAATCAGGAATTCAAGCTACTGCGTGTTATTACTTAAATCTATGAAGAATGTCATTGTCAGTATGAGGTAAGAAGTCGATCAGTATACTCAACATGGAATATTATCAAATAGTGGGAAGGAAACAGTCTAGTTGGTGACTTTATATGTTAGAATTATAACATAACCATTAACTTTCATTATTCAGTTTGTAAGCAGTTGACGAAGTAAGATGGATTCATTTTATCCTGCTACTGTATACATTTTGTTATTTCATTGCTAAGGGGGATTGATGTAGGAAAATAAAGATGATTCAACTTAAATAGCAAGTCAACTTCCTAAGTCGATGGCTATAAACATCGACTCTTGTAGAAGTCTAATTTAGATTTGTAATATACAAGACACTTCTGGTTCCAAATACTACAAAATACCTTTTATTTGCTTCGTTTCTTACTTCCACCTTAATCTTATTTAATGGTTCGCTAGCTCATAAATCTAACACAACTGAAAGTTTTTCTAACCGGTTTAGTTTCCTCCATTTTAAAAATATTGGAATTTGTTCCAGTAGCTGAATAGTCAATGAGCTAACCTGGTATTTTGAAAGTCCTGGGTTCGATCCCTAGTGGGGTCATGAGTGGGTACTGTTGAAGAGATCCAAACTAGAGGAAAACATCTGTCCTGTACACTTTGACTTTCAGTACTCCCAATGGTTCTCTGACCAATGTCAAATCATGATGAAATCCTGTTACCAATCAATCAAATCCCTACAAACCAATACTTGAATATCAGTGAGATGCTCACTAGCGACTGGCCCTATTCAGGTAGGTAGTTACCCGAGGTTCTAGTGAGAAGTCATGACTAGAAGGGTGCACTAAGTCAGTTGTGAGGAGAAATACTCGCCGAAGACATTGGCTAGCGGTTGCGCTATGTCGTGAATTGGCAGAAGTTGGAATTCATAGGCGATTGACATAGTGGGTCCAATTGGCTTAATGGTCTTCGAGCTAGCTCACCATGTAACCAGGAGGTTCTGTGTTCAGACCGTAGTGATGAGTGGATACTGATGAAGAGTCTGGATCACTAGGACGAAACAACTATCCAGTACTCCTTGCAGGTTTTCCAGTGGTTCTCTAACCAATGTCGGCTCATGATGAAATCCTGTAACCAAAATCACTTCTAATTTGATATCAATAAAATCTCTACAAATCATTTCTTGCAAACATGGTTAGCCGAAACAATTTCCAGTATACAACATTCAGATATTTTTCAAACAAATTGTATCTTCAATAAACTGAATTGAAAATATTATTTATTTAACCCTGCTATATAGTGAACCATATGGTGTTTTGTTTATTTAATAATGATTTACGATCATAAGACTTAAAAACTAATAGGCGCGTAAAAAGCAAAACGATCTCAAAAATCTGATACACGTGTTTAGCACTATTAACAAATTGGTGAATGCTTCTTACGCGTATATAAGCTAATTTATTGCACCTAACTCTATGGTGAAAATGTGAATTCCATAAAACCATTAAGATCTGTCAGTCAGCTTACAGAGTAAACATTTCTTATGGTGTGCCGATCATTTTTTCAGTATAAGTGTATAATGCGTAGATCCTAATTGTTTTGACTGATGGATGGAAAGTTTGAGAAACTTTCTAAGGTTCATTTTCGTATTCACCATAGCATATATATACATATATATATATATATATTTTTAAGTATTGGTTTGTTGTAGGGATTTTGTTTGATTGCATGGAGGATTTGATCATGAGCTGACATCAGTTAGAGAACCACTGGAAAACCTGGGAGTACTGGACAGCTGTTTCGTCCTCGTTTGGGACTCCTCATCAGTACGCACCCACCGGGATTCGAACCCAGGACCTTCTGGTTACAAGGCGAGCTCGTAGACCATTGAGCCACTGGGACCCGATCCAATGGTCCTTGAATTCTAACTTCTGCCATTTCACGACATAGCGCGACCACTTCGCAATGTCTTCTTCGATGAGTTACTGCCTCATCTTCAACCTGCTGTACCCTACTGGTCACGGCTTCCCACTAGAACCCCAGGTTAACTGCCTGAATAGGGCCAGTCACTAGTGAGCATCAGATGAATTTTTAAGTATTGGTTTGTTGTAGGGATTTTGTTTGATTGCATGGAGGATTTGATCATGAGCTGACATCAGTTGGATCGGGTCCCAGTGGCTCAATGGTCTACGAGCTCGCCTTGTAACCAGAAGGTCCTGGGTTCGAATCCCGGTGGGTGCGTACTGATGAGGAGTCCCAAACTAGGACGAAACAGCTGTCCAGTACTCCCAGGTTTTCCAGTGGTTCTCTAACTGATGTCAGCTCATGATCAAATCCTCCATGCAATATATATATATGGATCTCCGTATGCCAGATTCACGTCATACTACTGAGAATTTGAATTAGACAATTTTAAATTACACACACTAAACCAACAACACTTAATTCACCTTGAACCGACTTATTGAAGCATAATTTTTGTAAAAGAAGGAATATCAACTACAGCATTGAAGATCAATAAAAAAAATTGGTAACTATGGTTTACTTTAAGGTCATGTGATCACACATTCTACTTGGTGGACGAAAAATATCTATACTTAATGAGAAAGCAAAATGCATAAAATTATGCATTCATGTAAGTAATAATATACGTTAACTGAACTGGAAACACATACATGTAACTTGGTGTGAGTAAACAAAATCCGTATGTCGACAGTTTACACTCAATTAATAGATTGGTGATATTAGTAGTCGTAGTAGTAGTAATGTATTTAATTTCTTGCCCCATGAAATCCCGGAAAAACGTAAAACAGGCATTTTGTCCTAAGGTTAGTTCTATACAGTTGTCATCATACTCGGATTTGTTGGATTTTGTATGATTAATTCTTTTATACATCAGGATGTGAGTAGACCTTAAATTTGTTAAGTACAAACGAATATATATTTTTATATATAAACTGCTGCTTTTTTGAAATAAGTTTCTATACAAGTCTATCTCAAACAGAAACTGTACGGATTGTCAGTCACTGAAACAGAGAAGTATCTAGAACTTTATGAAAATGCATCATCCTCAAAAAATTTACGCTCAACACACAGTTGAAGGCATTAACAGGGACAGTGTCCTGTATACCGAAATTCAGACTGGGCAACAGTGTTCTCAGTGTATTGTTGATCTAGTGATCTGTTAAAAGAAATGATTATTGAGATGACGTGTCACACCTAAACCAGGGGTATGGGGAGCACCATCGAATGTGAGACTGTTCCTTCTCTATTGTCTTATTGATTTTCGTGCTTTTAAATACATCCAGTCCTGACAGCCGACTACACGGTCTCAGTGCAGCTTTCGTCACGAACCAACATCATTTGGAGAATTATTGAAGACCACGGAGTACTGGACAGTTGTTTTGTCCTATTCTACAGCAGAAAGCACCAGTCATCCAACCAGGACATCTAGGTTACGAAATGAGCCAGCTGGTCATTCAGCCACTTGAAATGGATTCCATTGACCCATAAATTGCAGATTTATCTGTTTGTCATATACCCCTGATGCCAACCAGTGCCAATGATAAACATCTCCTTTTCTTTGACATCGTAGTCTCCATCAGCCACGACGTCTCACTACAGCTTCAGGGCATCTGTCCAGTAACTGACAGTGAGTCAGAGATTGATATTAGATGATGGGTTTTTTAGAGATTGGGAGTAATTTTAATGGACTCATTTGAAG